TGTTGCTGCTCTGCCTTCAGCTAGCTCGGAACCGCCATGTTATCCCATTTATGAGTCTATTTAACCCCCAGCTCATCTCTACATTCTTATTCTGTCGAAGTGGAGCTGCCTATCGTGGCCATTTTCAACCGTGGAACATTGGGAGACTTATTACTGCCCAGCACCTTGCCCTCAAGAGTCCTTGACCACTACCAATCGCAGAAGAAACCCGTGCATTCCCTCCACTCTACGATAAGTTGTGCCCTTACTCCAAAGGACGGTCTTTCCCATGTGGGAAAACAACGGGTTGACAGCTGCAGGAGTGTAGCACTTTCGTCAATCAACAGCGTGGAATGAGTCTGAAGGGTACCCGTTCAAGACTTCGTCCACGATATTCTCAAGTTGCAGCCAGGGCATGCCATCGCGTTGTGACAATTTCCTGAAAAATACGACCCCCCCTAATTCCATCCTCAAATACGACCCCCCTCCCCATGCTACCTACCACTTTCCTAGATTTTCCCAACTTCCTACCACTTTTCCATTTTTTCAAAATTTCCAGTTTTTCAGCCAAGAATTTCCTGTCGAGCGGGGAAGGGGAGGCGGGCGGGAATATATATCCAATGTGAAACAGGAGAATTTCACAGATGTCCCATTTCCCCTAACCTCCTACTATTAAATTTCCTTCTGGTTTTTCCCCAAAATTTTGCTGTTGAGCGGGGGGGAAGGTCGTCAGGATTTTACTATCATTTTCAACTATCGGAAATAGTAGTTGTATGGCAGTACAACGACCGAATACGACCCCCTCCCCTTTATAGCGTCCGTGAAAGGAGAAACCAACTATCAAAAAAATTTTCTCCGGACCAACGACCAACCCCCCTCCCTCGCGGTCAAATACGACCCCCTTTGTGATCATCACAACGATGGCGTGCCCTGCATGAGAGGGCGCAAACAAGTAGCACGTTTGGCTATGGTTAGACATTTGGCTGGCCGTGCGACAGTGTGGGCGGAGCTGGAAGACAGAACCTTGGTGTCACTATCCTATGGGCCCGTTTCCGTACCGTTTAAAGCGGAGAAAGTGGCACACTTTTGCCCCTTCTTCTTGCGCAGGTAAAGGATCACAATCCGCGAAGGTGAGTGTACAGAACACCAGAATATCTCCTTGCGAAATGTCAGTCTGTAATCTTTTGTCACCGTTCACATTGATAGCGGGGTCGACTAAGCGCTCATTCTCAAGTTTGCTTTCTCTGCGTACGACTACACTCTCCTAGCCCACATATTGAATTTCATAGTCTCATTTGCTTTCGTTCCAGAAATGTCTTTGGCCGGCCAAATCGCGATCGTTACTGGGGCCTCACGAGGAATTGGTAAGCTTCATTGTTACATGTGTTTTATTTTAGTTGGCTTCTGCCCGTAACTATAAAAAGCTTTACAAAACGATTGCTTTAGTAGGTATCCAAAGAGTTACGGAACCCAAAAGGCCCGGTTTCTCATCAGTTCCCCTCTCCATTTCAGTGCCTTCAGATAACCAAAGTTCCCGTTAAGGTCGAGGTGTTGCATTGCAGCTTGGTGGAGCCGGTGCCACAGTCTATGTAACAGGGAGGCAACCTGCCCAGAGCGATGCAGCTGCGATGGATCAACTTCCCAGACTGGAAGAGGTTGCTCAAGGTAAATTTAACCGATTTGGATTTGGAACTGCATAAATGGGGGTCTTATTCACAGAGCTAAAAACAAGGTATGCCCTTACTACCGTGCATGGTCCT